AATTATATCATTCACTGAGTATCCTTTTTTGTTTCTCTCTCCCCTTGATAGAATGGGGAGGGGAATCGTTTGAGGGTCTGATTGGGTAAAAGAGGAACATACTGTCTCAGTATCAGAGACATTTTTAGAAATGCCTTACTTTGTGAGGATGACAAGTAGAATTAATCAGCTTATTAGTCATGTAAATGAGTATTAACTGTAGAGTGTTTCTTTATGAATGAACTTGTTAGATCAATAAATGTGTACACCATTTATATGGGTTCTTAGTGGATTTGTACTTCAGATTTTCCACTTCTTAGAAGTTGCATGACTGGAGTGATTTTCTAAGATAATTTCTCATCATTATTGACTCTTGAGATTTCTGTCGTATCTAAAAATCTATTCTTTGCTTTTCAGAGACTGAACAAGGAGTTGCCCAAGCTATCATTCGGTCTGTTGTAGATTTTAAAAGGGACCCATGGCCCAAAGTTTCTGACAATGCAAAAGACCTCGTAAAGAAAATGCTTGACCCTGATCCTAAGAGACGGCTTACTGCTCAGCAAGTGCTAGGTATGGTCTTGTTAAAATGGAAAATATGTTTATAAAATTATAATATTAACCAAAGTAACTGTTACTTACAAATTTTCTATATTCAGAATGTAAGAAGCCTAAACCAAGATTTTTGCTGCTTAATTTCAGACCATGCATGGATACAAAATGCCAAGAAGGCTCCCAATGTTTCTTTGGGTGAAACTGTGAGAGCAAGGCTCCAGCAATTCTCTGTAATGAACAAGCTTAAGAAAAGAGCTCTAAGGGTAATGTTCAAAGCTTGATCAGAATGAACAATTTAGTACTATTTGCTTTTCCATTCAAGAAATATGTTTTATCAAGGTTAATCGATCTTGGTCACCTATTTTGTTACTAAAATTACTTGCAAAATTAACAGGTCATTGCGGAGCATTTGTCAGTGGAGGAAGTGGCCGGCATAAAGAAGGGATTCCAATTGATGGATACCAACAACAAAGGGAAGATCAACATTGATGAGCTAAGAGTTGGGTTGAAGAAGCTTGGCAGTCAGATGCCTGAATCAGATCTCCAGATTCTTATGGAAGCTGTGAGTACATTCCTAACTGTTTTTTAACTTTGTACCTTGGTATCAGATGAAAAGTATCACCTAGATCAATTTTGTTTAGGCAAATGCACTCTTATGAAGTTCTTACATTTGTGTTTGGACAACGCAACGAAGGGTATGATCAGTTGTAGGTGCTTTCGTATAGAGCACATTTTGCAATAGAGATTTTTTGTTCTCTTATAACCCACAGTTGAGAACAGCAAAAAATTGAAACAAAAGATTCATACATAATGATGTGACTAAATGTGCACCTTTCACTTTAAAACATAATACCTATAAAGATGAATTCATTTACAAGAATGACATTGCCACATCATTCTTGTGGAGTTTTTTTTTTTTTTTTTGATGTAAGAATAGTGTTTTCCAAAATTTAATTTTTTTTGGCAATAAAACCATGATTTGTGAACTATCTAAGCAGTATTCTCGTGCAATCTCTGTTTTCTCATCCTCATTTTATTAGATCAAACCGACACACTTTCCAAAAAAAAGGAAAAAAAAGAACAAATCAACATTATTCACTGCAGGGTGGCCAGAAATTACCACCAGGCCACTTCAAACTGTGGTTAATGTACTATTTTTAGTTGCAATAAGGAAATTACTCAAGTAATATATCAGTAATAACCATCTGGAATTGGTAAAATTTGATTGGATTCTTGAAGATCAGTTCCTGTTATCCATTTTGATTTCACATAAATTTATTTATGTCGAATTAATCTGAGGCTGTTTTACAGGGTGATGTGGATAAGGATGGACATTTGGATTACGGAGAGTTTGTTGCTATTTCTGTTCATCTCAGAAAGATGGGTAATGATGATCACCTTCTCGAAGCCTTCAAATTCTTTGATCAAAACAAAAGTGGTTATATAGAGATTGAAGAACTAAGGGATACCTTGGCTGATGAAGTCGAGACCAACAATGAAGAAGTCATTAATGCCATCATGCAGGATGTGGACACCGACAAGGTCTGTATTTAGTTTATCATAGTATTTCTCTGTGTTTTCTTTCTTCTTTAAATCTTTAGTCTAGTGTAGATTAAGTTAAATAATTGACATTACAAGTCAAATTTTGCACGATAGCTGGAATATGATTTGATTTGATCTGATGCTTGTACAATCATAAGAGTATTTGAAATTTTTTGAAAAAACTTTGCGTAGTTTCAGAACTGAAAAATATGATGAATATATGAAACAAACAGTTGTCTGTTCGGAATACCTTTTTTTTAATCACACCTAAATGTGTTTCAGTGGCCTTAACTATATGCTAAAATCTAGATATGCTCACCAGCTTAGTCTGCTGACTTGCAAAGGACAAATGCGGAGTCTCAATTTTTAGTTCTTGATTCTAACTCTGCAATTCTTGATTCATTTTTGTTGTGTGGATATATATATAGACATTTGTATTGATTTGCATGCTTGGATCCATTCTTAATTTCATATTTCATGTGTTTGTGTTTGCAGGATGGACGTATAAGTTATGAAGAGTTTGCATCAATGATGAAGGCCGGGACGGATTGGAGAAAAGCATCAAGGCAGTATTCAAGAGAGCGGTACAATAGTCTGAGCCTGAAATTGATGAAAGATGGATCATTCCATGTTGGTGGCAATGAGGAGGGTAGATAAACTCATGGAAAGATACGACTGCTTGCTAACAGATGAAATTTAAATGAAAAATCTTTTGATTTTGTCTGCTTCCAAAATTCTTATTCTTCTTTAGTTTTATAAATTTTTTTATTATTATTATTTCCCTTCGTTCATTTTCTTTCAAGTCCTTCTGAGACCCTTTTTGAGGATAGTTGAGGATCTGGATGTCTTTGTCAAGTGCAATATATGTTTGCTTCTATTTTGTTTGGAAAGAGTCGGAGAAAAAGTGTGAATGTGTGATATTATATTGAATATAAGGGGACTGGTGGGTTATTTGTGATTGTAAATATGGTGGCCTGTATGCCTTTCGTTGAATTCAGATAAATCTTTTTGTTACTACTTGAATAATATTATTACTATCAGCATTGTTGATTTTGTCTGGATACTTTCTGGACTGTCCACAAAGTTTGGTTTGGGGGATAACTAGCTTATTTGGATATTAGAGAGAAGAGAAAAATATAAGGCTGTGTTTGGTACAGCTCTGGAACGTAGCTTATTTTGTGCATGATGTCTGTTTACGATTTTCAAAAGTTAATTTCACATTCAATTTTGAAAACTCGGTCGAAGGCGGAAAAATTTGGACTAACTGGTCGTCTCACTTGTCGTTCGGCCGATTGGCAGGAGTAGTGTTGTAATTCACACATGTTAATTTTTATATATTTGAAAAATATATTTTTTGAATTTTTTAAAATTTTTTATGAGCTTTAATAGAATTTTTTTGAGTTGTGTGTTTGGTTGTGAGTTGTAAATTTTTGTATCAAATATCATGTTACATTAAAAAAATTTTACTCAATTCAAAATTCTTTCATTAGACATATTTTTCACACTCAAATCATAATTTTAAAACTTATAAATTCAAAATATAATTCTTACTCTCAAATCATATTTAGAAAGCCCTATCGAATGCAATCTAGGTTTTTTTTTTTGGCTTCCGAATACTGCATTGCAGCCAATAAATGTAGATGGGGATATGTTTTGTACCCCCAAAAGAAATCTATACTTGCGCAAAAGGTCATAGTTGTCGAGGAATGCTGCTGGTTACTTCTCTTCTAACCCTAACCTCCATCTGGGCGAAAGTAATGGTAAAAGAATAAAGAGAAATACACATATAACATGTATTGTTTAAGTAGCAAGCACATTCTTAATCAAACCTATGATCTTGGTTTTGAGTTTCATCTTCTCTTAATATAATTTTTACAAAAACACAAACTATAAGAGTATTTTGGACAAAATCCAAAATATGAGACATTTTGTATCAATATCATCTCAAGGCTTCACATATATAAAAGTAAAGAGATGTATATATATATATATATATATATAAGTGAAAAAAGTCTCGTGCGGCTCACGGGTTAAATGTTGAAATGAAAAAAATTATTTGAAGAAATGCAAATTAATTAAATTATTTAAGTTGATTATTTGTATATCTTCTTTTGTGTGAAGCGTAGACAACTTAATCTTTTATAAATTTTAGGCCCACAAATTTTAATGAAACCTATATATATATATATATTATAGAAATATTAGAGACTCGCAATTTAGATCCCTAAATTTATCCAAAATGATATGGCAATGTAATCGAGCCCTATATAATTGAGTGTATGACAAATTAAAAGTTGACAGCTATCATACCACATCATTGTGGGGCAAATTGTGAGAGCTTGGTCTCAAACATTTTTCTATTTTATACATGTTAATATTTCAATTAAAATTGGTTTCTTCTTTTTATGCAAAATTATGCCTCGTTTGGCATGCAACAGTTTTAATCTAAAAGTCAAAAAGTCACTAAAAAAAATTAAAAAACCTATAACCTATATCTAAAAGTCAAAGATTTACTTTCCCTCTATTTTTTGCAGGTCTTTTCGTAAAAAATAAAAAAGTCATTCCAAACATACTAGTTTTTTTTTTTTTTTTTTTTTTTTTTTTTTTTTTTTTTTATCTCATATTTTAGCCAAAAATTTAAAAAGTTACTAAAATAGCATGTTCCCAAACGAGGTGTCACGACCCAAACCCGCCCCTATGGGTTTAGCACCGTAACCGCCCAGTAATCCGAGACTACCGAAGGCCTGCTTAACAGGGATATAGTAAAACAGAGTACAGGGGCCTGGCGGAAGCCAATACAGTAAATAAACAATGTCCAATGAGCTGTGACAGTCTGTATGCCAAAAAGACTTTTCACACACATATACATGAACAGTACAGAACAGTATGTACATATATACAATCATTCAGTCAGGGACCTAATCCCCTATTAAACAGTACGTAACAGTCTATACAGTTATACAAAACAGATACAGAGACAGACGGGAAATTAAAAACAACCCCTAAGTCATAACTTGACAGGCTCGGAACCTCGCAGTGAGAGGCACATAGTTGGCTCGACAAAACTAGAGTTTATCCGACGCTTCTAGCACGGTCTGGTGCCTGTACACCTACTATATATATATATATATATAATATATATGAGCAGTGAGTTAAGCCAGTGAATAAATATGCGTAAAGAGGTTAAGAATGAATGTCCTTACAGTAATGAAAACAGTTGTTAATTCAGTATATTCATACCTATGTGGTACATCATTAGCATAAACAGAAGTTAGACAGTAGGTCTTAAAAGACGAAAAGTATGGCATGCCATCAAGTAAAACAGTAGTGGTTCCAACAAGGGAACTGACAGAGATCCTCTGTAACAGTAGCAGTAACAGTAGTTGCTAAGGATGCCACAATACAGTTCAGAATATAGGACATACATTCATTCAATTAACAGAATCAGTTCAAGAAAGCAGTACATTCATTGTTCGAAGACATCATTTTGAACATATCTTACACAGTTGTTACTCACAGAGTCCTGGGCTACAGTAAAGTTAAGCGCGTCCCCAGTCGCCAACCCTACACAGTTACAGATTGAACATATACTAAGCTACACAGTGGGAAAATATAATAACTTAATCTCTAATTTGCCTCGGTGCGTTCTACATCTATATCCTCATTAAGATGCCTTAACTAGGCCTAATAATGCCTAGGATGAGATGAGATGCAAAGATGCACTTTAAAAGCATTTTCAGAATTTTTCAGAAACAGGGGTCACGCTCGAGCGTAGGTTACTCCGCTCGAGCGGACATGCAGACAAAGGTTTCCGCTCGAGCGTAGACTTACCCGCTCGAGCGTTCTGCAAAACAGTCAAAAGGCTGGATAGGTGAAAATCACGCTCGATTGGGCCTCGCACCCCTCGAGCATGAGAACCAATGTCCCGCTCGAGCATGAGACCATTGTCCGCTCGAGCGTCATTATCCGCTCGAGCGGACATCAAAACAGTGCAAAGTACTGGTAGCACGATTTCCACGCTCGAGCGCCAGTCACCCCGCTCGAGCGTGAGTTCAAAATATGAAATTTCCAGATTTGAACCTCAAGCTCAAATTCAACTTTTAAAACATAAGTTTCGATCCTCTTGGGCTAGTTTGCTAGAAAACACGTCAAAACTCATAGTTTAACATGATTCCAAAGCTCAATTGTAAAATCAAAGCCCAAGGGTGTTTCAAACAACTCATTTGAAACCAATTTTCATGAACATAAATCAAACATAACATGCATGAATTTAAACCATTTCAAAGCTTCAATTTCATGCTTTAATGAGCCAATTCTTTCAAAGACAAGGTGAAAACATGGTTTATGATCAAAACATGGACATGCATGTGGCAAATTCATGAAGAACAAGCTCTAAAATGCAAAAGTATGTCATGCATGCAATGAATAAGCTTCAATTCAACACTTTTGAACCAATTCATGACTTAACTCTTTAATCTACCATGATCCATGCTAGAAGGAAATTCATACCTAGGTTCATACCTAGGTTCCTCAATTACAAGTCTAGAGGCTCAATTATGCACTTAAGCTTTCAATTCTTCAAGATTCAAGCCAAATCTCTATGTTGAATTCACTACTCTCACTATCACTCTCTCTTGGTCGGCTAGTAAGGACAAAGGGGTTGAGGAAATGTTTTTGTTTGAGTGTAATAAGGCTCAAAGATGTCCTAGGTAGTGGCCCACTCACAATGAAAATTTGGTAGATAAGGCAACCTATGTGTTTTACATTCTTTAATTTAATTTAATCATACTAAATCACATTTTAACTGAATATGCTATAAAATCACATTAATTCTAAGAATCACAAATCATCAATCAATTTCAGATTCGGCTGCCGATAAGGCCTTCAATTCGCAATTTAAACACAAAGGCATGAACAGATAATCAAACAGTCAACAGATAGACATACAATTAAACAGATATACTTAATCAATTCAGTTCTAGATTTCAGTCAATCAGTTCAGTACTTCAATCAATTCAGTTACCAATCATAATCGGTCTCAGTTTAGTAGTAATCAGTGGTTAATCGGTAGACAGTGACGAGAGTTGTTACACGAGGCCTAGTAATTACATTTTTGAATAAATTACAAATAAACTCTTGATGTTTGTTTAAAATATTAATTGCCCTTATAGTTTTAGAAATTTGATCTGGCCCTTCAAATTTCTAATAATATAATAAATGACCATTTTTATTAATAAACTATTAAGTCAATTAATAAGTTTTAATTACGTTAGAAACATATTTCAATTAATATTATTAGTAATTTTATTATTGTATAGAAAGGTAATTAGGAATTTTATTTTTCGGTCAACTTTGTTAAATGACAAATTCTCAAAAAGGAGGTATTTGTAATTTTCAAAATCAAAGAGGTAATTAGTATTTTAAGCAAATCTCAGAGGTATATTTATAGCTTATCCTAAATTTTATTAATATTTAATGAATGTAGATATACACACGAAAAAATAATGTAACATTATTTATATTAGTGAAAATTGTATTTTAGTAAAGCAGTGGTAACAAAATTACATTTTAATGATGGTGCAACTCTCTTGTGTGTATGGTGTAAATTTATTGTAGCACTCCAGAAAAAAAAAGAAAAAAAAATTGTTTCTTCTTCTTCTTCACTCGAGCGATAGATTGTTTACTTGAGTGATTTGGTGGGTCATCTAGTACTTTTGTAGGTCTAAGATTCTAGAAGATATTGAAATTTGCTCGAGCGGAGGTTTGGTTGCTCAAGTGGTCTGTCTTGTTTGATCTTAAGTTCTGGGAGTGTGCGTTCTCCGCTCAAACAAAGGTTTTATCGCTCAAGCGGTGTGATGTCTCTAATAATCGAGTGTAAGAGTGGTCACTCAAGCGGTCTGTTCAGGATCAGTAAGTATAAAATCCACTTTTTGTTTATTTTTTCTCACTTTTCTCTCTCTCACCTTTTCATGTCTGAAAACCTAGCCACAAAACCTTTTATTTCACCTCATTATACCAATGATCCACTATAGATCATGCAAGATTAGTGAGGGATGAGTGGAGATCTTTCTTTTGACCGACTGAATCACAATTTTGTCGAGGTTTTGCTTGGGTCTTCCTACGTAGCTCTCATCCTTGAGGTATGGAGGTCTCTTAACCCTAATTATTTATAATTTCGTTTGATTGTGCTGTATTATGGAAAATATAAGTTATTTTGAGGTTGAAATCTTTGATTAAAAGGTGTTTATATTCAAAAAAGGGGTTTTCACTAAAAATTTTGAAATATTTAGAATGTTTTTGACATATTGATGAGAAATATTTGATGATTGCTGAATTTGATAACGAAATGAGGAAAACCTCTAATTTTTTTTGAAACCCTAGATTTGGGATTTTGTTTTTAAATGAGGGTTGGAATTAAATTGGTACTTTATGTTGAAATTTCAATTAATCTTCTTGAGTGTCCGTATGTGGAATGAAATTTTTGTTATGATGATGTTAATGGAAGATTCAAGGAAGTTGTTTTAGGTGGAAATCCGAAAATGTTGAAAGGTTTAATGTGTGAATAGGTATATAATTAAAATTGATGGCAAAAATGACTTAAAGATATGGAAATATGTATCTATTTTTTTTGAAAAGTTGGTAAAAAATTGGCTTTTGACTTTTTACCAAGTTTTTTAGCTTTTTGGAAAGTGATTTAGGAAGTTGGTAAAAAGCTGACTTTTTGCTTTTTAGTTTAATATTTATTTATGGGGTGATTCTACTTACGCCACTCTTTTACCTCGTTACACCCACCATCTCATTACACCACTAAAAAAAAATATAACTCTCATTACACCCCCATTATGTTACCAATAGTAACCTTAAATCAAACCTTTCATCTCTTTACACCGCTCAACTTTTGGAGGGAAAAGAGAGAAGCAGCAGCAAGGAAGATGACGGGTCCGACGCAGAGAAAGCGAGTGTTTCAGACGACGGGAGGGATTTGAACGGCGTTGTGGTCTGTGTTATCGGCGTGGATGATTAAACTCATTCTTCTCATTCGCTCAAGGTAAGTGAAAAACTCTTCTTTCTCTCTCTATATTGACAGACATATATATGTATCTATATATGTATCTCTATCATCTATATCATAATTTTTTTTGAATAAACAAAGAATAACACATTCCCAACACAGTTTTGGTAGTTTTGATCTTCTAATTTAATTGGGTTTGTAATTTTTGGTGCTAACTTTGAGTGTTAAAGTTCAAATTTTGGTCCTCTATTTTGTCAGATTTTTGTTCTCTGTTTTGATGTTCTAATTTGGAATTTGAATGTGGGATCTTCAAAATGATCTTGCTTTCCAACCAGAGTAGAATTAGTTTGTAAACCATAGCTTATTACAATAGCATTTCTTTCTACAAAATGCAGAGCTCCAGGGCATTGCATGGAATTGCTAAAAAGCCATTGATCCACTTCTATTTTTGTTCTGAATGATTTAACCTGCTCAAACAAGGAAAAAAAGAGTGATTCTATGATTTTATTGAGATTGATTCCTTTTGTAGTATTATTGGAAAGGAAAATGCTAATGAATTTTTTTTGCAATTATAGACACAGCTGTGGGCCTTCTAATATTCTTATGTATGAAGTTTCTGCATATAATTTTGTCTGTATAGAATTACCCTGAACAAAGAAAGACACTTCAAATTTTGTCTTTTTTTTTTTGGGAAAAAGTTGAAAAGAGGAGCCTTTGTGCTACAAGCTGTTAAATTTTGTAGTACAATTGTTGTTTTTCCACCCAAATCCCAATAGATGTAGCAATTAACAAGTTGTGGAGAGTTAGGGAGCTGATGAAAACAAAAAAAGATGTTGCATTATTGTTACCTTATTAAAATAACTAAAAAATTATCTTGACTATTGTAGATTACCGTGCAAATTCCAAGACAGTAGATTTAACATTTAAGTCAAGGAGTCATATGATGAAGAGGAAGTAATGAATACAACAGGTTAGGAAGCCTGCTCCAGGAAACTGAATTAGCAGATATTGAAATCAGTGCTATCGTAGATAGTTTTAGGAAGGGGAAGATGGTAGAATTACAATGAATTGACATGGAAGCAAATGATTTTGAGGTATAGTTTATGAGGAAAATGTGTATAAAGAGACAAGTATATCATTGATGTTCTCACAGAATAATTGAAACAATACAAGGCAACAAGACAAAGCCACTTAAAGAGGGGAATGAATGTGAAATCGTGTAAGTCGAAAACGGAATATTTGTTTTCAAGTATGTCACAAGTGGAAGGTAATGGTCAATGAAGTCAAGGTGCCAAAAAAAAAAAAAAACTCAAAGCGAGTGTGTCTATTGAAAACAGCACCAAGTCACTTCTGATGCCTCGGAGGGACTGAGAGTTGAAAAAAGTATGCCCATTTAAAAATGATAAATGTATCTCCAGTTGCATGCCAATAAAAATGAAATGTATCTTCAGCTGTACTTAAAGATCATTAGTCCCAACTTATTTTTCCTCCTCTAAAACTCTGCAAATTGAATTCTTACAATTTGCTTAATAGAAGTATGGTACTGCTATATTGTTATTTGCCCACATTGCCCAAGTTCCTTACTATTATTTGCCCACAAGCTCCTTTATGGGCATTTTGTCAACTAATATCCTACCAGGGGACTGAAAACATTTCCAGAAATTTAGTTAACAAGAAGTCATAATGGCTCCTTTTATCTATGAAATTATGGTTTCTTTGCTGATATTGTTTACATAAGCCATTTAATATATTCAAGTTTTTGCTGATATTGGGTTTAATGTTTTTTTTTTTTACAAAGAAATGGTTAATGATGTCTCACGTAAGAGACCAACAACATCCAACAGAAGACGTGCTAGGCAAACAAAACCTGAACCAGTGGAAGTGAATGTCCCTGTGGAGGAGGATGACCAAGTGGATGCGAATAATGATTATGTTGACGACGATATTGGTGTGGAGGATGACGATGTCGATAATGATATTGGTGTAAAGGCCGATCTCATGGAGGACGATGTTGGTGTGGATGATGACAACATAGAACCAGTTTCGGGTGCTCCAAAGGATCCTTTATTGCTAATTAGCTTCCGTAACCATGTTGTTGCCGCTGTTTGGAAGAAAAAGGTATTTTGAGAATTTCTCAACAATAAACTAATCATATGTACTATATGCTTCAAATTATTTATATGTTTTATGTAAAATGCAGGAACGGGGACCTCTTAAATGTTTGAATCGTTCTCGAAAGCTTGCCGAGTGGCCATGGATGTCACCAACAGTCCAAAATGTTAGGTGGAGACATTTGGTTGAGCAGTCTGGTCTTAGTGTCCTTATTGATCACACATATCGGCATGGCAATAGAGTGACAATATCTACCTTTGTTGAAAGGTGGCATCCAGAGACAAATACATTTCACATGCTAGATGGTGAGATGACTGTCACATTGGATGATGTGCGGACCGTAGTTTTTGTGAATGCCTAGGCCGTACAAAATTTGGGATATACTTTTCCCTAATGGCATAGTTTTTGTGGATGCCTTGGATCTTTTGTAAACTGGATGCTTGGTTGGACAAGAAATGAATTGTCATACTTTTGTAAGAATTTTAAACAGTTTCACATCTATTTTGTATTCAATATTTATGTCAATGGAAACTTATTTTGGTGAATATATGGATTTGTTATTGTTTGTAATGCATTGTAATGGTATTAAAGTGTTTTGGAGGGATATGGTACCATTTGCTGGAAGTAACATTGTTTTTTTCAGTGTTATGAGCCAGTTTAGCGTCATATTGCTAAACAATTTGAATTATTTCGGTGTTCAGTTGCCCGAAACAATAGATCCCTCCAGCATTTAGTTGCTATATATTTCCAGAGCCACATTGAAGTGTCTGTTTGGTCACACAATGCGAAACAATTTACAAAAATTCGGTACTATAATGCCAGAATAAATGGTTTTGTCCAGCCTTTTGTGGCTATACATTTACAGAGCCATATCCTCCCAAATGATGTGGTAATAATTTGTGCTGGGGTTGTTCGGTAATAAAATGCTAGTGAATTTTAATTAATCTAGTGTTGTGTTACCAGACAAAATAGTTTTTCCTAGCATTATGTTGCCATACAATTGGAAAATTTTAATTTGCTTCATAACAAAGTTAGTGGAGCCCACTGTGAAGTGTCTGTTCAGTCACACAATAGTAGACAAATTACATTTGTTCGGTGTTATGTTGCTGGAAAAAATATATTTGTCTAGCGTTCTGTTGCTATACATTTACAGAGCCACTTTGTTATAAATAATAATTTGGGGCTGTTCGATAATAGAATGCTAGACTTATATTTTTTTTTCGGCACTGTGATGCCGGACTATGTTATTTTGTTTAATTTTGAAACACCGAACAAAAGTCGCACACCAACCCAGAAAATCGAAACAAAAACCTACCAAACTAAAAAAAAAACTCACAATTTCACTTTTTGATGGTTTTTCACCACTGTTTCTTCATCCATTGCTTTTTTTGATGATCAAAACACTATGATTATCATTTTTTCAAAAGAGATGTGTAAGAGAAAAGAAAAGTTAAGAAAGGAAAAAGAGAAGTAGGAATTGAAAGGTCAGGGGGTGTAAAGAGATAATCAAATACATTTAATTTTAGTGTTTTGTCTCTTTAAGTAATTTCACATATGGATAAAATTGAAAGAAAAAAACAATCTTATATGGAGGGTGTAAGGAGGTAAAAGAGTGGTGTAAGTAGAATCACCCTTATTTATGGTGTCAAATCAAATTAAAGTGACCAAAATACCCTTACCCAACATAAGAAATTTATTTTTTTATTTTTTTTTCATAGGCTCTAATTTGTGATTTTACACTTGCGTTTTTGGCACTTCCTAAACCACATTTGTTGCGTTTCTGGCACTTGCGTTTTTGGACATTTTGTCCAAAAACGTGACTTTTTATTTTGTTCCCAAAACGGTACTTTATATCGTATTCATTTGTTGATTTTGTGTGATTGAATTGGATTTTAGTTAAGTTATAATACTGTGAACTCTTGCATTGCATTGCATCGACATGGTGATGGATTAAGTGTTGGGTTGTTTAATTGGGTGTATATAATCTTAGTACGTGTTGTGTGTGTTGAGGTGCCCAAATGCCCTTCTGTGCTTGGAGGTTGGAGAATGTGGGAATGTCATTGGTATATGATTAAGGTGTTCAATTGCCATTTTGTGCTTAGCACTGGTAAATGTAGGGATACAGTTGAATAATGTGTTGGTTTCCGTGCTTGATGGCTAGTAAATGTGGAGGTGTTTTTGGAAATGTAAAGTTGTCCAATTGACCCTCCGTGCTTGCTGGCCGATAAATTTGGAGGTGTTTTCAGAAATGTAAAAGGTGCTCGCCCAATTGCTCTTCTATACTTATTGGCCGGTAAATATGGGGGTATTATGAGATGTGTTGGGGTTTTATAAAAGGGAAGAAGGGGTTTTTATGAGAAAGAATTAAAGTCCGAGTGTTGAGTAAATTATGGATATCATGGTGAAGGGGCAAAATCATGTTTTCACCCAAGGTATTATGTCTTGTTCGGCTAGTGCGAAGTGTACATCATCTGGAATATTGTAGTCCTTACGGAATTCGACTATGGCATATGGGGAGCTTACCATGAAGCAGTACTTGCTCATGAAGTTGGTTTTGAGGTTAATAAGGGTTCGTTTGACTTCTCAATGGGGCCAAAAGTTGGTGTGTGTATTCTCGGCTGAATGGCGTCGCCAAGGGGCAATTGTGAAAGCGTGCCTAATCAATCCTAGTTCAGTTTACATGCTCGAAAATGAATTGTGTTATGCTCAAGTGTTGACCGAGCTAAAACAAAGTATAACTTCATCAAGTATAAAGAGTGATGAAGCTCTAATTAAGGTGTCTGGTTGAAATGGGTGTGCACATTAGAGTATTGCTTTTGGCTCGGTCAATGAGCTTGGTGTTGAGTTGTGTTAGCTCGGTTTCACCAACGGGCAACGTGTTAGCTCGATCATGTAAGGGAACAAGGTTTTAGTTTGGTTTGAGGTCCTAGCGAGGTTTTAGCTCGGCCTCGAAAGCAAGCGAGGTTTTAACTCGATCGCTCAAGTGAACAAGATTTTAGCTTAGTCCTGGTAACAAGTAACAATTATAGCTCGGTTGGTTTCCCTAAAGGTATTATAAACATGGAGTTTGCTCGGTTCCAGTGTGATTTTGGATCAAACTCATGGTTCTTGGTCGGTTTTTCCCAGATCAGTGTAGTCATTATAGAGAATACAATATTAAGGGTCATATGGAGGCCTAATTGAATTCCAAGATTGATTTTACTAAGATTCTAGTAATTATGGGTGTTTTAGCGTGGTTTATGGGCATAGGTAGCAAAATAAACATGAAGAACAAAATCAATGTCTATGGAAAAATACTAAAAAGGTATGGAAAGCTTACCCTTTTGGACGCTAAGCCAGGTTCCAATCGGCAACAAAGCTCTTGAGATGAAGTCGAGTCGGTGGCTACTGTGAAAACTTGTTGATCTGAGGCTAAAATGTAGGAATTGGAAGGGTTGTGTACTATGGTTTCTAGGGTTTTCTGCTTGAGAAGATAAATAGTAGAAGGATAGGCAATGTATGTATAAGCGGGATGATTCAAAATTTTGAGGGATGTGTGTGATGGCTATAATAGTGAATGGGCATAATTGGGGCTGGCCACGTGTCCCAGAAAGGACATTGTGTCAGAGTGGTTAGTGTACGACTGATGAGATCGCTTCAGACCGAATGGGCTTTACGACCGAGCAGTCTTGGTTAGCTTGGCAAGATTGAGTCATTTAGCTTGATAGTAAAGAGTAATCTCAATCATGTACTACAGATCGAATTAAAGGGCAATTGAGAGGGTAATTTGTGTAGCCCAATTGGGGCGAGCTAGTTGGAAATGGCTTCAAGGCTTGAACCGCGTAATGGGCCGTGCTATGTCTTGGAGATAGCCTGGTTTTTGGCTGAGCAAAGGCTAGGCCAGTCAAAGATATTTGACCGGACTAACAAATGCCCATATTCTTAGACCTAGCTACTTTCTAGAGGCGGTCAACGCTTTGACCGTGCTACAAGGGAAGGCAGTCAAACAGAGTTAAGAATGAAGGTTTGATCGAGCTAAGAGAAGAGCTGCGTAATGTCAGCATGGTAGGATGCCATACAAACCCTGTACGGCTTTGCGTGTTGCTCGATTAGGATAGTGGCAGACAAAGTAAATTAGCTCTTGCTCGGCCGAAAGCCGTGCAAAGAGTTGTGCCATCTCACTCGGCTTGTAATGAGGAGGGTATTAAAGGATAAACATTATCCTTTATGTAATAACCCACATTCATGTCTTAGTTATGTTCATGTGCATTTGCATGATTTCTTCTTGTTAAGCTTGCATTTGTAGACTTAGACTTGTTTTGCCTAGGTAAAAGTCCCTGTCTTGTTTTGTGCTTATGTGATTTGCCTAAGTGTTGTATGCATGCTTTGTTCCTTCCTTGCTGTCTCAAGCCTAGGTCATGTTAAGCCTAGGTCATGCCAAGCCTAGGTCATGTTAAGCCAAGGTCATGCCAAGCCTAGGTCATGTTAAGCTTAAGTCATCTTAAGCCTAGGTCACACTTTCGAACCTCTTACACCTAGGACCATCTTGGAACCACTTTGGTTGACCTCTATCTTCACCCTGGCGTCTTGGCCGAGATGTCATCATCTAGGTCGAGATGATATCATCTAGGCATCTGGCATCCTTGATCCTTGCACTTAGTGATCTTGTTCCGAGACTAGAATGACCTAGACCGAGGTGTGGCACATCTAGGCCGAGGTGTGGCACATCTAGGTCAAGTGTTATCCTTTCTAGCCGAGATCATTGAGACCTTACTTGCCGAAGCCTATGTCCTAACCCGAGATCATTACCTGCCGAAGTGTCCATGTCATCTTACTTGTTGTACATCCTTTGTCATGCTCTTGTCTTGTCATTCAGTCACCTTTTTGAGGTAACCTAATCCGGTAGTGCCACGTGTCCCAATAGAGGGTTAAGTCAGCCAACAGAGAGAGAAAACGTATCATTTGTCATATCTTTGCCTTTGAAGAGAGAGAGAAGCTCTAGCAAATAGGAAGAAGTTCTTAGAGGGAGAGAGCTAGATTCCAAGCTTGATCTTCACATCTTGAACCGTTAGATCCGTGTCTTGAGGTTAGATTCTTGATCTACTCTTGTTATTCTTTATGTTGATCTGATCACATTGCATGATCTAGCATGATTCATGAGCCATGCATTGATTTAAAGTTTGTTTTAGAAAGAGAAAGTGATGTTCATGTGTTCTTGAAGAAAAACCATGTTTTGATCCGAAAGCTTGTATCAAGATCCATGTTTTTGTGTTTGTTTTCATAAGATCTTTAAGTATGGGTACCCAGGTCTATATTTTCGAACTCATCTCATGAAATCTCAGATTTTGAATAAAGAAGTTATGATTTTAGCATTCATGTTCT